TCGCCTTTCACCCACCCAAGTAACACCTGGGCACGTGAGTGAGTTCCTGGCAATGAACACGGCAAGGGTTAAACCTGAAAATCCTGAGCTAAAAAGATAATTAGTATATCGACTTTGAATATAACGAGCTAATGTTCTTACTTCAAATTCTACTTTACTTCTACTTTAATTTAATCGTCTCATCGACTATTAAAATTCTAAATTTCAAGCAAAAAAATGAGAAAAGGATGTTACATGCTCTAATTAAATAATATGCTAACGTTTAATACAAGAAATGAATAAATTCTTTATGTGTATTTAGTGTGGAGTACCTCAGGTGATCTATTTATCAAAGTACACTTTAGGAAACTTGAAACCAATATCTATACTTGTTACTTTGATTGCAAGATCTACCTGTCGCGAAATATTTTCTTGCACAAGAAATTTACTTTATCTTTGTAAATATGGAATTGGAATTCAACCTCTCCATATTTCAAATTACAACGGATTTTGAAGTATTAAATTAAATAAGTAAATTACTCGGAATTATTGAATATGTTACTATAAACTGCGAAATCAAATACGAAATTATTTGACTTTTTCATATTAATTACTATTGCTTTATCTTTGGAAAAACGCGATGTGCAAGAAAATCTATCCTGAACTAGAAATAACAATGGGATGTTACTACTCCCGGATATAATAAATATCCGAGGTCACTATGCTCGCAAAATTCTACGTAATACAACCAATCACTCGTGTCGATTAGAGGACCTTTCATCCTACGACATGATTGAGTGACAGGAGGAACAGAAATGCATGCGACTCACATTTCGATGCGATGAGCACTGCCATGGATGCTATCGGAGGACACACACAGTTATTAGACGAAGTGTTAGTTGACCGCCACAAGGAAGAGCCCATAATACTTCTTGGAAGAAATAATATCCATGTAAAATCTGTAACAAAGGTTGTTTGAAAATATTGCGCAATTGTCCGTATAATATATGCGTCGCAAAGAATTATTAATAATATCGTTGCCTTCGATTATATTATATTATATTATATCATATTATACTATATTATATTATAATATTGTATAATAATGTATAATATACTATTGTATATTATATATATATTGTACGATATTGTATTATACCATTGTATCGTATAATATATATTATAAAATAAGAAATTGTAATATAGAATAAGAAATTGATTCGAAAATATGGAAATAACTGTCGCATCCATTATACTCATTACAAATATTATAAAATGCAAAGCGTTACATGTATCGATTCTGATCATTCGTGTCAGGACGTGTTTCGAAACCAGAAAAACGATAAGCATATTACTCACTGTTCGTAGATCGCCGCCCTGTCGCAATGTAGTTTAAATCTTCCAGCAGGTGCACTGTTTGCCTTGTACTAGCACTATAAGAATTATTTTTCCGTCACACTTATTAAAATTTATTCCGTTTTATTTGAAATTTCATTACGACGCCGTCTCCACCACGCGCGAAACACGGACACGCCCTTACATTCTTTTGCGCATCGAAATCTGCGCATGACCTTCTTCTCGAAATCTGCGCAGAAACGGATATTCAAAGTCTGCGCAATTGCATATATTACAAATCTGCGCAGAAACGGATATTCAAAGTCTGCGCAATTGCGTCTATTACAAATCTGCGCAGAAACAAATATTTGAAATCTGCGCAGGGGCGAACATTCGAAACCTGCGCAAATGCCGATATTCGGCTTCTGCACCGAATATGACGCATGCGCTGTGACTAATTTTATAAATGCGCGGGCGGAATATTGAAAGGAATAATTTCACTAAACTTGACTATTCACCAATAAATTACTTCATAAATTATGTAAATTATTTCATACATATTTATATATGCACTTGCCTGTATTAAATTGACAAAATATTACCAAGCCCTTTCGAATAGCCATTGCACTCTTTACTGATCATCATGGCAGCCATGTTTTATTCCTACATTCTTCATATGCTTCCTTCTCAAGCTATTAATATTCGGAACAATAAGATTCGAATACTTGAGACAAATGTATAGATCAATATAAAACGAGATTCGCGTTGTTATTCTATGCCATCGAATATTTTCCAACATTTCGCCACACGAGGTCATTCAGACGTGGTATATACTACACACTATTTGTCGAATGCCTCAACATTGCGGTGCGGTTCAATTTAAATTTAATGGCAGGCTAAAGGTCTACTTTTTCCTAATCACACCATGTGTTCACTTTGATGAAAGTTTATATTCTTTTCTCAAAATTTACATGAAACGCACTCAGGATACCGCGCGCGAACACGACGTTCCCTCTATGGGCGTATATACCTATACGCATGATCTGATACTGGGAATCTGCTCAGTAACGGATATTCATAGTCTGCGCAATTGCGTCTATTACAAATCTGCGCAGGAACAAATATTCGAAATCTGCGCAGCAGCGAATATTCTAGACCTGCGCAAATGCAAATATTCGGCTCCTACACTAAAGATGACGCATGCGCAGTGACTAATTTTATAAAAGCGCGGGCGAAATATTGAAAGGAGAAATTACACTTAACTGGACCATTCACAAATAAATTACTTCATAAATTATGTAAATTATTCCATACATATCTATATATTTCATTGCCTATATTACAATAATAAAATATTACCAAGCCCGTACGAATAGCCATTGCCCTCTTTACTGATCATCATGGCGGCCACATTTTATTCCTACATTCTTCACATGCTTCCTTCTTAGGCTATTAATACTCGGAACAATAAGATTCGAATGCTTGAGACAAATGTATAGATCAATATTAAACGAGATGGGAATTGTAATTTTATGCCAATAGAAATGCCGAATTCTATATAAACGACCGATAGCTCTTAGAGCCAAATAAATTATCCGAAATCCTTTTTATAATTTAATTGTATCGCTATAATGTTAATTAGATTATTAAATGTACTTGATTTAATTGAGGGATGAAAGGCTTCGTTCGTAAGTGGCACCAGGATAGCAGAGGAGCAGCAAAATGGTAGGTATCACATCATCGAATAGTTTCGTATAATTCGCGACATGACTTGATGCAAACGTCGTATATGCTGCACACTATTCGTCGAATGCCTCAACATTGGGGTGCGGTACATTTTAAGTCTAATGGCAGGCTAAAGGTCTACTTTTTCCTAATCACACCATGTGTTCACTTTGATGAAAGTTTATATTCTTTTCTCAAAATTTACTTGAAACGCACTCAGGATACCGCGCGCGAACACGACGTTCCCTCTACGTGCATATATACCTATGCGCATGAACGGATGCAGAATAATTTGCGCATGCGTAGTTCTTTACTAATGCCAAATTTAATGACGCGCGGGAAATAATTTAGGATTTAATTTAACTAAATTTTTTAGAAATGCGTAAAGTTTTGAAAAGTATTTTTGTTATGGTTATTGAATACGTGATTCTAGGAATTGGATTCATACACTTGGAGGAATAATATTAGTTCATTGAATTCTTTTTATTAGAAACTTTTCGGACTGAATACTTATACGCACTTGTTTATTGTGCTATTTTATTACTTACGAGTTTATTAAACTGTCACTTGTATATTATTCGCATTTTCGCCGTCGTTTACTTCTTATCCATACATTAGCTGAAATTGTTGATATTGTTATTGTTTATATTATTTTCCGTATTATCAGTATTATTATTATTCTGAATACGGTTATTGCATAACATTTGTACTTTGTTTTATATTGCTTATAGCATTTGTTAAAGTTATCTCACTGATGACATTTTCCTCTTGTCGGTATTATGTACATTTCTTATCATTTTCAAATATTATGGCGAATCTTTTTTTCTAAGGCTAAAATATGCATTGCAAGAGTCCCACAACTATGAGGCCAAAATAAAGTCGTTAAATCCTGCTTCCCTTTTGTATAACATGCATTATGATGGTAACATAAAACCAAATCAAGCAATGGAGAGAAAAGTGGTAGCAGGGAACATCCAAATTCGCATTGAGTACCGTTAGCTGCTGGAGATGCACCAAATACGTATGTGGGGCCTTTAACATCCAAGGGAGACGAGGCGAGTCGTCTAAACGTTGGTTGCAGTTTCTATCACGCCAAAGAAATGCAAATGCAACTGTTCTAGCAACTTTATGAAAACAAAGCGAAAAACTATCTGAGCCAGATGGTTGTAATGATGGATTCAAACTACCAGTATCGTTCAACTCTACGAAACACGTGGACTTTAGTGGTGAGAGCGCTTGTTATTTGACAAATTTTTGAATATATCAAACACTGCGTGATCATTACCGACTTAACTTCCTATTAAGATCTAGGACTTGGTGGCATAATGGAACACGCTCCATTTCGACGATTTCAATGGCATGAATTGCGTCTATGGACGATTCCCATTACTTCATGTTCAGCCTGGTGATAGAGTCCTTATTTATTTATATTAGAGAGAACACGGATTCTATTGTACTTTGCACTTGATAACGGTACAACACTCAACGCCTGCGCATGTTAAACATCTAGGAAAGGTGCATCAGGAACTCCAGTTGCCAAGATTTTCAATCTGAACCATTTCTCTGATGATGTGAATCTTTGGGTTTATTGCTGTTACACACCACCCTTGCCTTTGCTAACTCAAGCAATGGTCCTGGTCCTTTATACAGCTCAAAGTGTGATCTGTAATCTATATCTTTATAAGAATATGCACATAGATATTTACAAATGTAATAAGTAAAATTCAATTTTTAATATTACCTGAGACATGAATAAAGAATAAAATAGGATATATATTTTAAGGTAAAGAAATATAGTATGATGATATAGTTTTGACTAAAGATTTAAATTCTCTGTTTGCAACATTTCTGTCACTTTATTCTAAGCAATACACTCCTTCCAATGATTGTACATTGTGTGATTGTTCTATCTAATTTATATTCGATACAGACTGTTATAAAATATGTGACACATTTTATAGTTACTCAAGTTTGCACTGGCATCGTTTCCCATCACGTATGAAGTAAGGCAGACAATTATCCTCACGATAAGTCCCACCTCTATTACCGAAAAAGCAGAAAGGCATATTGGTCCAGCAATCCGGTTGCTTCAACAGCTAGATACAGGAAGGGAAAATCACGTGAGTAATTTTTATATCAAAATTGAGTCTATAATATGACAGAATATACACTTACCTGACACTTATCATAAATCAATACCATTTTGGACGTGTCCACGCAAGTATTAAGTCTGTTATAATAATGACGACCATTGTCACATGAGATTTGAACTTGTAATCCACTAACGAATTCAATCCAAAAGTTTGAATGATCGGTCACCGCGTCAATTTTTGTTACAGCTCCATTTGCTTGTACCAAAGCTATAATGGTTGCGTTCAAATGGTGCTGATCATAAGCCACGTTATCGGCAAGGATGCCTGATATAGCAACGACCATAAACAACAACGAGATGAAAAACGACGTGACCAACTTTCTAGCCATCATGTCGCTCGCTTCTTCCACAACTTATTCGCCATATCTTCTCATGCTAGCGTATATAGCAAGCAGTTATCACCGTGATAAAGCACACATGTTTATTCATTGATTCGCAGCATTACATTTTTCCCTCTTTGCTTTCATCATAGTGATAACATTCTGAAACAAATTATTGAGTACAACGCATCACATTTGTGATCAATTGACACACTTTAGTCGACCATGAGAAATTTTTCAAAATTCTGAGCATAAGATTTCTAAGAAATGAAAAATTGACTGGAGTCTATCTTGATAAAATTGCAATATATCCAATCTCTGTCAGTAATCTGTCTATTACTTAGGATAGGAAATTTGATCTTCGGTATGTAAGTATTCTATCCCTACGAATTAAAAAAAAAAAAAAAGAATGGAATTTGAATCTCAAAGTACATTATAATATACACTTACTGACAAAAGTTAAGAAACAACGTAATCATTTGAGAATTTCGGTATACTTTCTATCTTCTAAAATACATAGGTTGAAACTAAAAACAGCATAATAAAATAACAGTCTTTTTTTCGAACATCTTGTGCAAGGGCCACAATTAAATTGAATCGAAGAAATAAGACAAAAGCTGCGTGACATAAGTTAAGAAACATATATTGTTTAATTTATATAACCACTTTAAATAAAAACAACGATATGCAGATATCTGCAATTTTGATAACAGTCTAATAAGATGTTGGATAACCCTTGGATTTGAGGACTGCATGGCATCTGCGTGACATTGATTCAATTAATCGAACACGAAACTGAGCCGGTATTTTTGACCATATTATTATGATTTTTTTCATTAAATCTGTTTCATTGATAAAAGAATGACTTTTCAATTGACGTCCAACGTAATCCTACAGATGTTCAATTCGGTTCAATTCCAGAAATTGACTCGGCCCCTTGATTACATTAACATTTTGTTCTGCAGGACAACTCTTAACTAAGTTAGAAGAACATTTGAGGTCGTTATTGTATTAAAATAACACACTGATAACATATTCATTGGAAAATGGCAGCATATGATTTTGTAAGATGTCGCATTACACAAATCTATCCATTGTTTCTTTTATTTGTATTAATCGACCAGGGCCGTTATGCGAGAAACAACGCCACATCATTACAATACCGCCACCAAATTTCACTGTCTATTTTAAGTATTTAACATCAAATCGTCGTCCAGTAGGGTGTCGCACATTATTATTAGAGTCATTTCCTGCTATGAATGTTTTTCAGACCCAGTTGATTTTTAATTTCGAATGATATTACTTTCGGCTTAGGGAGCCTTGCAATTCGATAATCTAGTTTTTCAGTTATTTTTCGCAGTGTGCTAGTTCGTGGTGCTGTTTTAACAGTTCCATATTCATCAAATCGTTTTATAATGTTGGTGATAATGCAACAATTCATACTAAACACTTTTGTAATTTCACTTTTTTTCCTGCCCTTCTTAAACATTTTAACTACTTTCAGCTTCCCAGCGTCTGTTAAATGTTGCCTTCTTGTCATATTTAACACGAACTGCAACTACTAACATAATATGAACTAGACGCAGCGATGTGAGAAAAGGAATTAAGTGTTTCAGAATACGTTTGTTTACATTGTGACCTCAACTTATTGCTAGTACTTTGTATATTTCTTGACTTGTGTCACGCAAATTTTGTCTTATTTCTTCGATTCAATTTAATTGTGGTCCCTGCATATGTATGTTCGAAAAAACTCATTGTTTACTGATGTATGGAATGTTATCTTATTATGCCATTTTTAGTTTCAACCTATGTATCTTCGAAGATAGACCATATACCTAAAAAAAAAAAAAAAAAACGATTACGTTATTTCTTAACTTTTGTCAGTAAGTGTATATTAAAATTTCCGATTTGATGAATTATGATGAATCAACGTGTAATATCTTACATCGATATTTGCTCACCTCTTGATTACATGAATGAAATTGAAAATTTTTACGGACATTTTCTATGTGTTCTAACTCAAATTAGATTTTATTCACTAATGAAATTATTTATGCATCATCTCATATAATGTATTCCTTATAATATTCCACATTACAGGATTGTCCAAACTTTGCTGCAAGTAAAGAAGGTCAATTTAAAAATGTGATAAGAATTAATGTGAAAACTTTCAGACAACTGAAAATACAAATAATTAATATGTACAAACTTGTTATATTACTTTAATTATATAATTATTAATTATATCAGTAACTGTATCAATATTTACAAATAAAACTAAAAGTTTTATCTATAATGGAAAGATACAATAGTTACATTCAATACAGCTGTATGCCTACTGAATGAATTTTTTATATCCTAAAAAGAAAAAGTGTTATACTAGATATTTTCATTAATAATTTTTATTAATTTAGACCTACACCATACTCTGAATAGTATATAGTACATAGTATATAGTATACAATATAATATAGTATATAATACACCATAGGTATATAACAAGTTTATACTAAATCCTATGTTAAAACTCAGAGTGATTTACTTTGTGGTACTAGAAAATTATAAACTTGAAATCAGTCTTACTTTTTGTATTAGCTTCCTTCAGATATATTTAAGACTGCAAGAATATATCATTGTATATATACTATTTCATATATACTATTGTCACATACACAGCCCTTCCTTTTTAAAAACATGCAATAGTTCAGCATTTACATTTAATTTTAGTTCTTCCAGTTCTGGGGCTAAAAATAAAATAAAAAATTTATCTAGGCTATTCTATATAATTGTACATTCTGTTAATTTTTGGAATATTGATTTTGCTCACTTTTTAATATTTTTGAGATTCTTATTAACTGTGTAACTGATGTACCAACATATACTTCCATGGTTTCATTATCTTGAATAGTATCATTATTTTCTAAAATTAAAGGTGTCTTTCTTGATACAATCTACAGAAAATTGAGGTTCCTATAATAAAAATATATGTAACATCCTTCAAGTTACCGATGATCTTACATGCATTTCTTCCTACCTTCTTAGTAAATCTCTAATGAATACATCTGAATTCCTTCCACCTATATGAAAACTGTTGCTGAAAACATAATGTATAATTATTAATATTTCTTTCTTATATTGCTCATTACTTTCATTTTTACTTTGATACAAGTTTATTAATGCGATAAATATATTCTATAAATGAAATTATGTGATAAATAATGTTTTGAATTATTTGGAAAGTTACACAAATCATAAACAAAATATTAAAGCTATGTATACGTAGTATGTTCCATCTTTACTAAAAAAGTTATGCCTTAAATCTATAAAAAGTTTTTGTAACTGGATAAAGTAATTGGTATAGTCATTTTACATACATCACTTGGCATATTGTTAGATTACATATGAAATGATGTCAGAGTTTACATTAAGTTAATATAATGATATTTGAAGATGTAAAAAGTACGACTCTTTACATAATATATATAACCAAGGATTTACTGAAATAATATTTAATTTAAGACAAACTACTTATCTACTGAAAGTTCCTCATTAAATTTCTTAATCATCAAGATCTAATTAGCATGGGAAATATAGAAAAATTAATATACTTAGAAGCTCACCAATTCATAATTTCTTAATCATTTCTTTCCAAAAATTCATGGATTATATTTTTTATCATAATTTTGTTCTATATTTTCCACTTTGCTACTTTATTTCTATATCCAGCAATTCCTTTGTTTCATATTATTAATTCATTTTCCACTACAAAAATAAATACTTTTATACTTAGAATTTTACTAATATCTTGAATTTTAATCATTGTACCTGAGTATTATGTGTGAACTGTGCAGTGAAATATATTAGTTTGATTTTTTGTTGTTATTTTTTTAACATAGGGTTAGGTAACTAGGTAGTGCCGAAATTTAAAATAAAACTTCTTTTGCAATTATATTGTTTTAACATTCTCATAAGGGCGAAAAAATTACATAAGAGTAATTTTATGAACTTTAACACACCATATAACATACAAAGATGAATTACGAAACACACGATGCGACTCAACCATTTACGATAATCTGACACAGAACAAAGAAAATGTTAACGAAATGTACGAAATATGAATAATGTATTAGACTACTGAAATATGAAATTCATTATCATCTGAATAACTCATCTTTCTATTCAAAAGAGATATATTAACAACCTTCAACAATCTCGTTATTCATCAAATTTTGTATGTTCCTCAATATAAATAATTATTAAACGGAAATTTGATACCATATATGTATATTAAATATTAAACACAAACGTAATAGTATACTATTTAATAAAGCGATGTAATATATTTTTTCGGATATTTACACTATTTAAATTATTATAGAACAACAAAAAAAAGGTAATAAAATGAAATTACAAAATTTATAAAAATTTACTGTGCCAGAGACAATTTAGCGAAAGGTATTAATAAAAAATATGAAATGATAATACACAAAGTCACAAAAGTTATTTACATAAATCAGCATCTGTAAACAAGGAAAATTCTACTGGTTAGTAAAAATATTATTTTTCACAATATTCGAAACTGAGAAATGCAGATAATGACAGGAGGAAAATGCCACCAATGAAATGATCTTAACAATGTTATAAGCAATACAATACAAAGTAGATAAACACAAATAAATATATTGTTCAAAGTAATGTAAAAAATTAAATAACATTAAGCAATTATCGTATTAAGAATAATAACAATACTCATAATACTCAAAATACTATAAACAATAACAATAACAGTGATTTCAGCTAATGTATGGATTAGAACAGTAAATGACCATAACAAATCAAATAATATACAAGTAACAATATAATAAACATGAATGTCACAAAACAGCACAATGAACAAGCGAGTATAAATATTCTGACTATAAATTTTTTTTTAAAAGAATTCAATAAACGAATATTATTCCTCCAAGTGTATGAATCCAATTCCTAGAATCACGTATTCAATAACC